TATATATATAGTAATATAGTTAGTAATAAACTTAGACGCGGTAACATACAATATTGTTACCTGGAAAGATCAGCTACGGTAAGTACAATACGATTATACAATTATACAAAAGAACGGAATGATTACATTTAGCATTTGAAATTGGGAGTAATGCGTTGATGATATGATAAAGTCATGCTATGTGAGTGATAGCAAGCAAGAAGATTTGGATGGAAAAACCATTGCATGAAATTGGAACGACATAAGATTATATAGCATGGTAATCGTTCTTTAATTCAAACTATTATTTTAATAAGAAATAGTTTGCAGACTGAATGAGTAAAAGAGTACAATTTAACGATGAGATAGGATTTCTGGAAATATGGGATCAAATTCGGATGAGGATTACAAGTGATCAGTGCGAAATGCAAGAATTTGCAAGTATGCTCGATAATTTGACGTATTATTTGGAGTTGGCTGTGGAAAATTGCAAGCCGAAGAATCGTGAAATGTATAGTGCACTGTGCTGTATACTTCGTGAGGTATATTAATTACAGTTGAATAATAATGAGTAATTTAAATTAAAGAATGCTATAATGGAATTTGTGATTTATTTTTATCGATTCTAAATAAATCACAAGTGTAGAAAGATCGTAAGCTACAACTTTTACCAATTAAGTGATGAATTAATCTTTTAGGTTGAATGATAGAATTAGAAGGATACTTGAAGTAGAATTTTCTGAGAATAAACATGTTCTATTTTCAATTGTAATAACCAAAATAACTGTGCAATTTCACTGGAGTATCACATGTCATCTTTCCATTCATTGATTTTATGATAATTGAAATAACGCTGCTTTTTTTTTCTTTCTTCCTTTTATAATAAAACAAATAAAATTGTGATATTTTCAGGAACTTATCAACAAGCAGGAACGCTTCACTGAAACATCAAAATATATTGATGAATCAACCGCTGTTGTTGATTCGGGATTTGAAACATTCCATGCAGAATCACCTGCGGAATACAGCTCGAAATTGATAACGCCAAGTTGTATAAATCCGGGTCAAAAGGTAACATCATATCGATTAAAATCTATCAAACCGAGAACACAAAAAATATTATTTCGAAATGTTACATATGATGCTGCTGTTGTCAAGAATATTTTTGACGTTAAACTAGTAGATATAAAGCAGTGTACAATTACTTGTCCATATATGATAACGGCAATAATGTGCTGTTTTGCTTGTTTGATTGCCTTTATACCGCATCGTTTCTTCCCGTGGTTTTTCCCGTTAATATCATTCAATTCACCACCACCATTATAAATTAAAACATATAAAAAGATTGTGTAAAACAGCAATAACGTATGATATGTGATCATGTGGATGGATAGGCTTGGATTCTTTTTTGTGCCTCATTCAGCTTTTTGTGCCTCATTAAGCTTCATTGAGCTTACGCAGTTTCTATAGTTTCGTGTACATGAACTGAATCACTGCACAATGTCCTATTTTCAAGATGTTTATCAAATAATTTAGAAAATATGTGGAATGATTTAGTTTAGATGAATTTATCTTAGTTTAGGTCAATCTATTCAAGTAATTATGCATATTTGTAATTATCATTTTTGTCTTTCGTTGCAATTCATATACATGTATTATTTTCCAGACATTGTTGGAGAATTGTTTGTTTTATTCTTAATCTCCGATTGTTTTATTTATTTTCTTTTGGATTATGCTTTGCGTTTTACCATTGCTTTTTTGCTAGTTTTTTCAACTTTTGGTATTGTCATTTATTTGCCGATGTTAATTTTAAAAACTTTCAGTGTTATATATTTTAAGTGAATCATTTTTGCCCTTACCTTTTAATGCTTTTCTTTTGAAAGAAATTTCAAAATAGCAACTTAACAGGAAATCCTCTTTCCGCTTTGAAAAAATATTCAGTAATATCGGTTAGACATATTTGATGGAACTAAAAAATCAATACGTAACTTGTTTGTGTAAAGACAGATGTGTTCTAATAAGGAGAAAGGATAAAAAAAAGATATCTTTCGACAAAATTCCCCTTATTGATTTAGACAGTTTAAACTAAGCAATTAAAGCATTGGAGTGTTTTACGGATGACGATAGCTTTAGATATTGTACATTTTATTTTTGTTCGTTAATAGTATTTGTCTAAAATACTTGTGCTAATTACTAAAAGTAATTGATTATTTGTCTACTGGATTTTCAGCCTTTTTTACTACCTATATAATCTCTTGAATTTTCGAATTTCTTTTTTGCTTTCGCAAGACTACTGTTCATCTAAACGATCATGTATGATAAGAATACGAAAATACTCTCTTCAAATTGTTTAATAATATATTAAAATTACATTGTGCAATGTTCATATTATTGTACTCAAAGTGCTTTATAATATATTTCCATAGTTTTATATTTTCTCTTTTTTTGTCAAACTAAATATCATAATGTTGCGTGTTTTTACCTGACTTATTGCATACGAATAATAAAAGTAATACTCTACACGCACGCTGATCAAGAATGGCTCTTATGTGATCTCATGCTAAGAAACCATCACTAATTATTTACACCGTTTTTCTTTCCATGATTTCCTTTCCCTTCTCTCCTTCCCTCTCTCTCTCTCTCTCTCTCCCTCCTTCTCTCTCTTTCTCCCTCTCTCAATAACCAGCCGGAC